TGCTTTTTATTGTATTTGAAAAATGTATTGGTATTATATAGTTCATGTATTAATTGTAATTGCTTGTTTACTAATGTTCTTTATATTTGTATTTTATTGAAGCTGTCTAAATGTTACAAGAAAATGGGCTACCATTGAGAAAAACCAAAGCTGAGCATGTTAGTTCTTTTTGAAACTTTGTGTCCTGTGTGAATTTTTAAGGATCCCAGTAACAGTCTTCAGACCTGTTGGTTAGCTGCACAATCCCTCTAGTATGGGGGCAAATCAATAGAGCTAGGCCTGAGAGTCGCAATTGTCTTTGTAAAGACATTAGCAATCACTATAAGAAAAGCTGCATATGAATAGGCAGAAAGAGCGATACCTGCCTGGAAAAAGAGTCTGGTCGGCTGGAAGAGTTCTGGAGAGACCCCAGTCTCTGGGACTAAATTGGATTGGGCGTAGGTACTCGGTTAGAGTACAGGAGCTCCGTCCAGTGCAAAGATTTGTGGGTACATAGGCGAAGATGCATTTTTTCGCCCCCCCTTCAAAAAATATAACATCTTCACCCATGTGCCTTTTAACCAGCCCCTCTCCCCTCCCCATCCATTAGTGTTCCTCTCTCCTTCCCACTCTTTTCCCAGTTCCTTGGTGTTTCTCTCCCCTCCCTGTCCCTTGGTGCACCCCCACCCCCTTAGTGGTCACTTCCCTTCCTGGTGTGCCTCCTACCTCTCTTGTAGCGATGCTGAGCGGAGCAGATCCCCTACAGGAGCCTCAGTTTTCTGTACACGGCTGGTCTGACAAAGTAGTCTCTCAGTGAGCACATCCTGTCAGTCAGACAGGAAACAGAAGCTCCTGTACCGCGCTCCGCTCCACCACGCTACACTCAGTGGTGTATACACACTGACAGTCACACACACTCAATGAGAAACACACAGAAGTCACTGACAGACACAGAGTCACTGATCTGACACACACTCATTCATTGCTTAAACAAGGGGCACAACCACAAGTGTATATGAAAAGATTTTTTATTAAATGGGTCACAGTAATAGGCTCTCATTAACTGTATCAATGAATAAAAAAGACATACAATGTAGAATGAAAAGTACAATGTAACACCTACAAGTTCTACAGTAGCCTATAGGCAGACTACATAATGCATAAATCACTGAATGCAAGTATCCAAAAGTAGCTGTATGAGATACCTAAAAAAATATTGTAAACCCAAAAACAATTATAAATAAAAATAAAAGAAACCTAGTGAGACCTAGTGAGAAGAAGGACAAGAATCAACCAATAAGCCCCCAATGTTTCGGCAAAATGCCTTTATCAAGGGAGCCAGTAGTGAAAGAGTGAACAACACCCTTATATACCCATATAAGAAAAAAATAAAGAATACCTGTAGAAATGGGTGGCCACCCATAATGATTGGGATCCTCCCAACCATACACAGCTGTTGATTATGGTTGCCAAGGAAACCAATTAGAACAAACACAAACAGAAAAAAATAAAAATAAATGAGCATATTTAGATGTCACATGGTATATCTAAAAGTAAATAAACATAGTTGTTTATGATGAGCACAAAGAAATATTTATGCATCCAACAGTAAAGGCATATATTAGAATCAATAATGTATAATAAATACCCCAAATAAAATAAAGGAATTTACCCCACCAAAAGAGAAACTGGAATCATCTTCCCTGTAGTGATAGAATGATCAGCTGAGGATCTCCAAGCTGTACAGAAGTTACTAAATATTTACTCAAGTCCGTGTAAGGATAGTAGATCCAAGGTGAGGCTTGAACCTCATAATGCGCCTCAGCATCAAAGAGTGAGGGAGGAGCACGTCCAGTGGAACGCACAACGCCTTCCATCCTCGATCCACCACAAGATAGTCCGGATCACAGTCCGCGCATGCGCGAACATGGCGCTTTGGCAACCATAATCAACAGCTGTGTATGGTTGGGAGGATCCCAATCATGGGTGGCCACCCATTTCTACAGGTGTTCTTTATTTTTTTCTTATATGGGTATATAAGGGTGTTGTTGTCACGGGTGGCGGTCCGGTGCCCGGGACCCAGACACAGTCCGGGCGGCGGTGCGTGGACCGGGACCCAGTATGCCTGATGAGAAGTGGGAGTCTTCAGCGTGGAAGTGGATTACATGCCCGGTGCAGGGTAACCAGCGTTGAGCACCAGCGTTTGTGCAGCCACAAACCAAAACCCTGATGCAGCTACAGCGGATCCCAGGAACTTGATATGCAGACCTCCCAGGAACTGTATAGGGGGGCTCTGCAGCAGACATGTATCCAGTACAGAAACAAGGCAAGGCTAGGATAGTCACCAAACACAAAAACAAGACAGAACTAATAGAACCCAGAACCGGAAAAGGACAGAAAGCAGAACCCAGAACATGTACACAAGACATGAGGAAAACAAGAACAGGGCAGGACAGGTCTGTACATGAACTGGGAATACAAGACAAAATAAAACAAGACAAGATATAATAGGTAAAACAAGAGGAGACATAACTAAGCACTATATATGAAAAGTATGGGGATTTAGTTACATTATATGATCATACACAGGGCCGGACTGGGAAGAAAATTCGGCCCGGGCATTTTTTAATTACAGCGGCCCACTAAAAAGGGGGCGGGGCCAGATAGGGTGTGTTTTGTCATCACCAATGACAAGCACGCCCCATCACAAAGTGAGCATGTTGGTTCAATGCTCTTCCAGGGTAGACCATGCGCAGAGCTCTGCTGAAGAGCTCTGGCATGAGAAAAATATCCTGTATTTGTTCTGCACAGCGCAAGCAAATTTAATAACATGCTTGCACTGTGTTTGCTTGAAATTTGTCAGGAAAGCATATTGCGCAGTGTGTGTGAGGGTGTTCTGTGTGTGTGTGTGTGTGTGTGTGTAAGGGGTGTAGTGTGTGTGAGAGAGTGGTGCAGTGTGTGTGTGAGTGATGGGTGCTGCGTTTGCGTGAGGGTGCTGTGTGTGTGATGGGTGCAGTGTGTGTGTGTGTGCTGTGTGTGAGTGGGTGCTGTGTTTGCATGAGGGTGCTATGTGCATGTGAGGAAGCTGTGTGTGAGGGTGCAGTGTATGCATGTGAGGAAGCTGTGAGTGTCAGGGGTGCAGTGTGTGTAAGTGAGGGTGGGTGATGTGCGTGTCAGGGGTGCAGTGTGTGTGCTGTGCGTGTCAGGGGTGCAATGTGTGTGTGTGAGGGTGCTGTGAGTGTTAGGGGTGCATTTTGTGTGTGCTGTGAGTGTCAGACGTGTAGTGTGTGAGTGAGGGTGCTGGGAGTGTCAGGGGTGCAGTGCGTGTCAGGGGTGCAGTGTGTGTGTGTGAGGGTGCTGTGAGTGTCAAGGGTGCAGTGTGTGTGCTGTGAGTGTCAGGGGTGCAGTGTGTGTGTGAGGGTGCTGTGTGTGTGCTGTGTGTGTCAGGGGTGCAGTGTGTGTGTGTGAGGGTGCTGTGAGTGTTAGAGGTGCATTTTGTTTGTGCTGTGTCAGACGTGCAGTGTGTGTGAGGGTGCTGTGAGTGTCAGGGGTGTAGTGTGTGTGTGAGGGTGCTGAGAGTGTCAGGGGTGCAGTGTGTGTGCTGTGTGTGTCAGGGGTGCAGTGTGTGTGTGTGAGGGTGCTCTGAGTGTTAGGGGTGCATTTTGTTTGTGCTGTGTCAGATGTGTAGTGTGTGTGTGAGGGTGCTGGGCATGTCAGGGGTGCAGTGTGTGTGTGTGTGTGAGGGTGCTGTGAGTGTCAGGGGTGCAGTGTGTGTGCTGTAAGGGTCAGACGTGCAGTGTGTGTGTGTGAGGGTGCTGTGAGTGTCAGGGGTGCAGTGTGTGTGCTGTGAGGGTCAGACGTGCAGTGTGTGTGTGAGGGTGCTGTGCGTGTCAGGGATGCAGTGTGTGTGTGTGTGTGAGGGTTCTGTGAGTGTCAGGGGTGCAGTGTGTGTGTGTGTGAGTGTCAGGGGTGCAGTGTGTGTGTGTGAGTGAGGGTGCTGTGAGTGGCCCAGATGGCCCTAGACACAATTTTGGCAAAGAAGGAAGGAGTATGTAAAATACTCCCAGATACTATGACATGACATGTTGTACCTACATTCCAGATAACACAGGTTCATATGGTAAAGTAATCTTGACAATAGAGAAGCTAGTGTGCCCCTCTGAAGAATTAAAAGGAATCTATGAACCATTAATTCATGGGGTAGATGGTTTGATGGATAAATGGCTAGCAAAAGGTTCCGACCCAGATGGGCGTGGCTGTCTTCTTAATGTTCATTTTTCTTGCTCTCCTTGTCTGTTTTATGATTTGTTTTAGATTTATGAATGCTTACTATAGATGTTTAAAGTCGTAAATAGTCATTTTAAGGGGGGACTGTTGTGGACAGAATATTTGCTAAAGTAAAATGCCTATTTACTCCATTTAGTTATAATCAGTACTATTCAATAAATTACTAAAATGACCACTAGATGTCACTCAGGAGTATCCCACCCATCGACTAAACACTCTCATTTTCAAGATGGTGCTGGAATCCGGGGGAGAACTTCATGACGACAGTAATGTCGTAGGATGGCACACCCAGTAGGACTTTCTCTGAATAAAACACTTAACACCTAACCAATTAATGATGCATTATTTCATGTTATCTCTGACAAAGCATATGATGTAATCCTGCTTTAAAAGGGACTTGCCGTCCCCTCTGAATAAACATTCCTACGTTTTTCATCAACCATAAACTTGTGTCCGGTGTGAAATTACTTCAGGAGCGTGCACGCACTTCTTCTTCAATTTGGCCAGAGGCAGATACACATAATGGTCAATATTATTGATTGATTTCCATTTACGCACTTCTTCTTCAATTTGTCCAGGGGCAGATACACATAATAATCAATATTATTGATTGATTTCCATTTCAGATGTCATAATCAGATCACTTTTTTCCCTAGTCAGAAGCGTCTTGTCTTTTGTCGCAACCAATGTTTGATATTCTACCAACATCAGTAAAATTGCATTTGCTTAACTTCACCTATGGCCATACCAGTCTGAAAGTGCCTGATCTCGTCAGGTCTCAGAAGTCATCTGTACTCAGGTCTGGTTAGTACTTGTATGGGAGACAAACTAAGAACCTCAAGTGCCATAAGCTTTTGTTTATTTATTTTTTGCATTATGATGTCATAATCAGATCACTTTTTTCCCTATCCAGAAGCGTCTTGTCTTTTGTCGCAACCAGTGTTTGATATTATACCAACATCAGCGAGATAACTTTCTGCTAATTTTGCCTATGGCAGTACTAGTCTGAAAGTGCCTGATCTCGTCAGATCTCTGAATTCATGCAGACTTGGGCTTGCTTAGTACTTGTATCGGAGACCAACTAGGAACCTCAGGTGCCATAAGATTTTGTTTATTTCTTTTTTGCATTATGATGTCATAATCAGATCACTTTTTTCCCTAGTCAGAAGCGTCTTGTCTTTTGTCGCAACCAATGTTTGATATTCTATCAACATCAGCAAAATCGCATTTGCTTAATTTAATTTATGGCCATACCAGTCTGAAAGTGCCTGATCTCATCAGATCTCAGAAGCCATCCGGACTCAGGTCTGGTTAGTACTTGTATGGGAGACCAACTAGGAACCTCAGGTGCTGTAAGCTTTTGTTTATTTCTTTTTTGCATTATGATGTCATAATCAGATCACTTTTTTCCCTAGTCAGAAGCTGTTACGGTTGCCTCCAGGCTGGCTGAAAGTTGGACCGTAGAAAGAATGCTCCTAGCGCTCACCAAAGGACCATCAGCACCGTAGACACCATAACTACTGCGTAGCCACCAGAAGTACTGCAGACTCCACGAACCACCGCTGCTGGGCTGGTATCTCGCCGTCTGCTCTGTGCCCTGGACCCACGACCAGGCTCCAGGTTGCAGTAGGTGAACCTCTTCCTTCTGCAGAGCGAAGCAGGATCAGGAACAAGAGCTCAGTAGCTAAGGGAGTATGAAGAGCATAGCAATCCCTGTAGTGATTATAGCTGTCCCCTACAAACATGAGTCAAGGCTGCAAGTTAGAGGGTCAAGAAGATCTGATGTTTAATGGCACACACTCTGCTTTTATGAGATTCTGCCCATGCAAGGGAGACACCCACATAATTAGCAGTATAACCAATCGGAACAATATACATTCAGGGAAATTCCCATCCCTCAGATAATCACATAACATAATTAAAACAGAACAGTTTTTCCCCATACCCTGTAACTTTAAAACCATACATCCAATCTTCATACAAATTACATATTTGGAATCAATCCATTCAGGGGAGCAACATATTAAAAAATGGCACAAATCAGACAAGGGGTTCAAAAGTTAGTAAAAAGTATCTTTTGTACCCTGGCTGGCAGCATGGCTATCTGGCTCAAACTGGTTTTACAGAGCCCTCTATCCTGGACAATGGGGAAAGTAATCCAATTATCCAGGGATAGAGGCAGACTCCATTAACCACATGTTAGCAAAAGACACAAAAAGACACAAAAATACATAACTCTTCTCATACTGAACAGAACCCCCACATTCAACCTATCCCCAGATGGCTTGGATCTTAGCGCTCAATGTATCCAAACAGCGCTCAGATCCCACAAATACAGTCAAATCGCCATACACACTAGGTCGATAGTCATGGGGCAGAAGGCTGGCAATTAGGCTAATCCATAACACAGGGAAGCAGGGCAATTTGTCAAATAAAATAACAGTTACAAATGGCAGTCTGTAACATATCTCCCCTTTTGGAGGGAGACTAACCAGGCACCTGACCTTCTGTCGGTCAGTGCCTAAGTTAGTCTCGCAGCCCACCCACAAATAAACATTGGCAGAGTAGCCCCCCCCCACAATAAATAGTACTGGCCTGTAGGTTCCTTAATTGCATATCTCCACATAGCCAATATATGTCCCCGACTGTTTTGACATGAATTACCAATAACGTCAAGGGTGGGTCGTGATAGGCAGAACAATAGCCTGACGGAAACTTGCTGTAACGAGACCAATCTCACCACTGTGCATTGGAGGAGCCTGGTTGCCCACTTGCTGCCTTTAGACTATGACCCCATGTTAAAAAGCTTTATTTTCCCCTGCAAAGACACGAAAGCCGGGTCATTCGGTGCTTGCCCTGTTTGAGCAGTGATACCCCAGATAGCTATGCCAAGGAGCCCATTCGTATAATGAAAGACTATGGAAAAGACTTTGGCTCCATGGCAATTGAACTGTATGTGTGTGGTTTGAGCGCCATTCAGCATTAATGTGCGCTCAGACCTAAGCTATCTGGGCATATGTTGCATGTCTGTATTTTATGTCATTAATGTAACCTTGTGTATTTTATTGTATTTTACTGTCTTTTTACTGCCATGTGCTTAATGGAGTTTTGCCTCTGTCCTTGGAGAAAATTGGATTACTTCCCAATTATCTCCAGGATAGAAGACTCTGTGGAACTGGTATTGGGCAGAAAAGCCATGCTTCCTTTGGTCACAAAGGACTACGATCTATCTTTTGAACCACTGGACCAATTTGTATGATTTTTACGTATGTTTGTATTTGGAGTATGCTGATTCTGTTATATGTGGATGTGATGCATACTTTTCAAGTTATGAATAATGTGGAAAAATTGTATTTCTCTGCTTGTTATAATTACATTACCCATTGTGTAAGGTAATTGTATCACAGGCAGAGGGGAGGATTTTGTGTGGGAGTGTCTGAGTGTATTGTATGTGTTTATTGGTTGTGTTCCAAAACCCTGTGGGTGGAACTAATGTGTTAGAATGTGTATATAAGGACAATAAACCAACAGCTCTGTCTGACCACTGCTTGACCCACAACATGGAGCCTTGTCTCGTCTTTGGGGGGATTTGCTGAACGCTGATAGAGACTGATTGCTAGGAGTGTAAGCCGCTTGGATGCTTTTCCTATTCGTCTGCTAGCAGCGATTCGTATGGTTCCAGTTCGTGTGTTTGGAGTGCTATACTGTATGCCGGGAGATTGGAGCATTCCCTTATTGGCGGTTCGTGAGTTTGGTGTTCTACAGTAGCTGTGCCTGCATCTCTGAAAAGGGGACGATC